TTTTTTTATATATATTATACACACACACATATACACACACACACACAAAGAAAAACAAATAGATAGAATAGAAAAAATAGAAAGCTAGTGTGTTTTTATATAAAAAAAGAAGATATATATAAAGTAGAATTAAAATAGAATAGAAAGTGCTAGAGTTAGAGGGTCAAATAAAGGTGGAAGTCATTTTAGTCATTTCTTGAAGATGGTTAAGGACTCGGATTGATTTGGGCCGGTCATTCCACCAGGAGGGAACATTATAAAGCAGGTTTTCTACACTTCATCTGTTTATCATTAGATATTTACCATGAGTGAGCGTTAATATACAGCACAAGCAGAGAGAACACTCAAAACCTGTCTCAATGAGGAAAATGTCTCTATAGTTTTATTCAGTTCTCCGAACAGTGTCAAGCAGTCTGGCAGCCTATAGCAAGTGTCGTCATCAGGCATTGACCCCTCCAGGTAGAGGGTGCAAGAACAAAACTCAAGACACTTGAGCAGAGGCACCATTTTATTTAGTGTGTGAAAAAGAGCATACAGCAGACATTTCACATGGATTCCTTTCATTAGAGATCCATGATCCGTCTGATGGAGCCCATCCTTGAACTCATGCCACCCCAGTCACTGTACCTCCTGTACTCGCCAGGCCTCAGGTAGAAGTGCCTGTCCGTATAGTTGGGCTGCTCATAAACGAGCCAGTGACCGTCCATCACGTGGCAGGAATGGAAGTTGGACATGTTGAACCGGTCCATGACGTTGGGGCAATCATCCTCAAGCTCCACCATCCTGCCGCCCATGTCCTGGCGCTCATAGAGCCTCATTTTGAAGGCCCCATGATGCTAATGGGTAAATAACAGGAAGTTAAGGCTGAGTGCTTAATTTCAGTCCATTAAAACAAGAACATTGATAACTTTAGATAACAATTAGCTTCAGTCTTTACCACTGGGATCATGCGACAGGATCTGACGCAATCGTTCATTCCCATAGTACGCATGTAATCAGGGTACTCGCCCCTTCTCAGAAAGTACTGGTGGCCCATGAAATTCGTTCGGTCATAGACCATGAAGCAACCGCTTTCCACTTTGATGGAGTGACAGCGATTGAAGTAGGAATGCAGGTCAGAGCAGTCACTCATGCACTCATGGTAACGGCCACCAAAGTTCCTATCCTCATAAAAGATAATCTAGAGGAAACATTTTAGATAATGAGAGCAGCACAATAATTCATATTTGACTAATAAATTATTCTAATCTGTACAGACCTTTCCCATGTTTGTGTAGGATTTGATATTTTTTCCTGTTCAGTTGCCAAATGCTGCTGGAACTATTAATATATATCCAAGAAAATAATGGTACTACTGTTCGTGTTGTCATTTAAATCACAGTGTACTCATGTCAGCAGAAGCTGTACAGGAATATTGCAAACATGGACAGATTTAACCTAAACAATCACTTTGATTGCCTCCGTAACATTAGTTTTTCCAGCAAAAGCTGCTCTGTTGAAAGCTGCTGGAAAGATCTGGGGAAACAACACAACAATAGTGTTATTTGTATGCATTTATTTTAGCATTACACATCACAAGATTGTTTAAATAAGAAACTTTAATTGAAACTAAAAGGTTTTTTTCTTGAAATTGCTAAATGCCTTTGGTATAGCTGATATAGGATGTTTATGAGGGAATCTGTTCAAGAAATCTTTGTATGTCCTACTGCCATGATTTATTTCACTAATAAGTGTATTGCAGCAAATATTCTAACTTTTTGCAGGAAGCTGTCATTGTGCCAGATGGCTACTTAATCAAAATAAGGCCTAACACCAGACATCAAGGCTTTGTCAGTGACTGAATTTGTTACCAGAATGGAAAGTTCTGTGTGGTTGCCATTAGTAAAGTTGAGATTGTAACAAAACCTTTGTTACAATCTACCACAACCTATGGTGACTTCCTACTGTCCATACTGTATTTAACTTGCTTGACTTAGAAGCAAAATACATTTTTATTGATATAGATATGCAATGACTACAGTGTGTTTTTAAATCATCTACACTGGCAAACATAAGGGAATACTAATCTAGGAATTTAAGCATGTCCCCACAGATGCCATACAGCCTGAAATCTATATTTGATCACAGACAGCTGTGGTAATCAACACACCTGCAGCATGAATACATACACTGCCAAGCATTTGGTTTTGTGGCATTTTATTGACACGTCAATGCCAGAAAAGGCACAGTTATTTTCATAACATTAACTCTAAAAATCAATGATTCTGCAGAACGAGCCAACGGTGGCACAAATGGCACCCCAGTCACTGAACTTGCGATACTCGCCAGGAGGCAGGAAGTACTGGCGGCCTTGATAACTGGGTTGCTCATAGAAGGTCCAGTAGCCCTCCACGGCATTGCAAGAGTGAATGCTGCGGCATTGGAAACTTTGATGAATGGACTTGCAGTCATTACTGAATTCCATCATCTGACCTTGGAAATCTGTCCGATCGTAGATCCGGATACGGTAGGATCCACCACTTTTCTGCAAAACATTTCAAAAGGTCTTTTAACATACTTTAAAAGGCCTAGAGTTTGAATGTCTACAGTGTAAATGTGTACAACAACACAACATACAAGTGTGGATACTGACAACAACAGTTTTCTGTGTGCCAGAACAGTGAACAACAAAAACGGAATAATAAAATAATAAAAGTAGATATAGAAATAGATCTCACAACAAATATTATGGAATCATTAACATGCATATTACTCACATAGGAAAATGTACGACATGAGCGAATGATATCATTGTAGCCCATCCAGCGCTGGTATTCAGGATATTCACCTCTGGTTAGCACATACTGGAAACCAGAGTAATTGGGTCTTTCATAGAGGATCCAGCAGCCACTCTCCACTCTGATAGAGTTGCATCGACTGAAATGAGGGTACATGTCTGGGCAGTCTGTGTCGCACTCATAGGAGCGACCTTGGAAGTTTCTCTCCTCATAAAAGATAATCTGAAATCAAGAGATGTCACAGATTAAAGCAATACAGACAAATGTAAGAGTCTGGTTGTTCTGTTTATAGTCATAGTAGCATAATTTCTAATTAGTATTTAGTATTTGCAACAGTTCAGTCAAATGCTAATCTAAACTTTCCTTAAGAAATGCAAAAATAAAGAAGTTATCATCTTTGACCATCTTATTTACCTTACTCATTTTGACGTGAGTCTCTGGAAACAGTTCTAAACATGAGAAACAGTCAACAAACTAGGGTATGAGGTCTGCTTTATAAACCACCATCAACGTGGTGGATCAAACTTTATTTGTCCTTTCAATGACTGAGATTTGGCACTCTGATTGTAGTGTGAACCTCTTAATCCTATCCATAGATTTAAAAGCCCTTATTCATCAAATCAAAATTCCTAGCTGGCAAATTACTGACCTCAGCTGCCCTCTGATTTGATCCAGACATTAATGAAATGCTTTATGTGATAGAATTATTCCTTATGACATGGAATGCATCAACACTTCCAAAAATGTCTATAACACACCATGTGTTTCAGAGTTCAGAAAGTAAAAGTTCAAGAACTGTATTGATTACTGTAAACTTTACACTGAATCTTCATTCACATGCATAATGAGAATGATTGGAAAAATTTATTATTATTCACACCTATTTCTAAAAAAAAAAAAAAAAAAAAAAACTTTGGAGAAATATTAAGTCAGTACTACTGGTATTTATAAAAAAAAAAAAATTTAATTGGCTCTCTTTATTATTATCTGGTTGTGAACAAAGTCTCAGGAAAGAACTAATATTTTAACAATAAGGACAAACGAGGAAACACCTGAAAGGATGTTACATGTGTAATGACAGCAATGTTTTATAAACCATGAAAAATGAATATTTGCTTGTACAGATGCTGTTTTCAGTCCTGCAGAGTTTCTTGCGAGCCCTCATAGTGAGCAGATCCATCTTTTAAGGAGTCCTCAATATCCTGTATTCAACGCAAAATATAGGTGCAACAATTACAGTACACAATCTGAGTACATGATGGCAGTAATTTTCACTTTTTCAGTGCATTATATTATTGAGTGTATCATGATATGATACATAATATATGGGTCATAACAGACTGTGGTAAAATGTATGTGAGGAACAGCTGACTGACACTAAATGAGGAGCTAGAAGAAGAGGTGGAGGGGGACTCCAGTTTCTCAGTTACTGGAGAGACCTCCTGTTTACTGTGTTTCTTGATCCAGCGTTTCAGTACCTGGGCTTATGAAGATAATACAATTATTAAGTTTTAAGTTTAATTAAACCGAGCCGGACGATTTGCACAGTCGCACTTTTAAACAAATTTTAGTTTTGTTATAGAAAATTTACAAATTCATACTCTGATTACATAGATCAGCAGCAGGAAGCACTGAGGTTTTCATGGCAACCAGATACACTGCTGGCGAATTACGGCTGCGCTTCTATTTTGCCACACTAAACTTAGCAATAAACATGTTATAATAATACACAATAAACATGTCTGTCAAAACGATCTCAAAGGAGGCTTTTATTAAGCAAATCAAGGAGTGAATTATTCATCCACTGTTAAAAAAAATACTTTAGCTGGGTTTCCACAGGCAGGGTCACAATTATCTACAGTATATGAAGCTAAAGGTTTTTGGGTTAAGGTTCATAATGTAGAACATTTTTAACATTGTACGTGCATAGGTAGCTAGCAAACAAGGAATACAGCTAATAGTCACATTTAGCTGAGTAAGATCATGATTGAGAAATGTTGGATACTGCTGGAAATGCTGGTGTTATGGGGTATCCTATTTATTATTTTAGGATTTTTTTTGTTTGCCCCAGTGAAGCATTTCTATTAATATAACTGATTAAGTAGTCAAACTCATTACATATCAGCAGAATAGTGTCGTACAGAAAGTCTATGCCCATAAAACAGGTTCTGAATGAATTATGTTACTGATACCTAATGGTCAAAAGCAATAGCAAAAGTAGGCTAATAGGTCAATATTATTAAATTCCAGACAAAGATTTTGAAAAGCTAGGCTGGCTTGCACACTATATTGCCAAAAGTATTGGGATCCCCCCTTCTAATGAACAAGTTTGACTACTTTAGTCATTTCCATGAGTACAAATCTTAATGTTTAAGCAAATACGAATATTCTAGGGAATTGTGTTCTTCTAATTTTATACCAATAGTTTGAACAGGACCCTTTTCAATTCTAACACAACAATGCCTCTGTGTATAAGGCAAGGTTTAAAAAAAAAAGATTGATTCAGTCAGTGTGGAAGAACTTCACTGGTCTGCAAAAAGCCAAGTCCTAATCCCAGCTGAACACCTCTGGTGTGACTTTAAATGCAGACCTTGAGCCAAAAACTCATCACCAAACACCAATGACTCATGGATACAGTCATTTTAGACACTTCCAAAACTGTGGCAAGGTTTTTTAACCTTGCCTTATACACAGAGGCGTTGTTGTGTTAGAATAGAAAAGGGCCCTGTTCAAACTATTGGTATACAATTAGAAGCACACAATTCCCTAGAATATCATTATATGCTTAAACATTAATATTTGTACTCATGGAAATTACTAAAGTAGTCAAACCTGTTCATTAGAAGGGGGTGTCCCAATACTTTGGGCAATATAGTGTATGTTTGGTGCCATAGGGAGGCCAACCTCATATTCTTTCATAGGGCCCAAAATTGCTAGCACCGCCCCTGGACTGCTATAAGGTCACATACTGTGTTTTCTTGAGGGGTCTACTGCTTTGAATGAACTGAGCATAGAAAATGGATAAGTGAGGGAGAATGGGTGAACAATGTTGCCCTGTTGTGGAAAAATAGATTGGGGTCATCCTTTTCTCAAAAAATCTCAAAAACTATAAAATCGATAATACAGTAATTATAAAAAAGCTGCTTGTTTTTAATATTGATATATTTAAAAAAAACTTCAATTCAATATTATTGCATTATTTCATTATTTATTTGCCATTTTACTTCAATTAGATGACTTTAATATAAAGATTACTTTAATAAGTAAATAAAATATAATAATTTTAAGTCATCCTTCAGAAATTTGCTGAGGCTCCCTCTTGGCATTATGTGAAGAGCCAGACTAAACAACAATTTTAAGGGTTCCTATTTTCAGACCGGATGTATATCACTTCCAAATCTCATCCTGCATGACATTTGTTCACTCACATGACAAACATACTATCATAAATACTGCAACATATACCTTAGCATGATTATGAGGGTAAGATGCCACTGGTTTGCAATTGTACAGAGACAGAATGTCTTCTATGGGTAAGCTGTTCTGAAAATGAGAGGACAATGATACAGCTTGTGGACAAAAACACAAATGCTGTTGAAACCAGTTACTTATCCCTACCAGAAGCATTCCAACAAATGAAGAAAGGGTCATTGCTTCTCTTTCCAGGTGATTAGGGTACTGGCTAATATGTCTTAAACTGCCAATTCCTCTACAAACATATCATTGCCAAATGTGAGCCACAAAAATATGTATGGTAAAATACAGCATACATAAAAGTAAATCTGTGGAACAAACACATAAATGCCAGTCATATAAATTACTCACGTCATTCTCAGCTGCATTCTTCCCATCATCTTTACTGAGCCACCACAAAGCCACACTTATAGCCAAGTCATAATTGGCCTACATGAATGTGCAGAGATGTATTTAGAACATATTTAGCAATACAATCCCTAAGATTGTTGAATCTTGTTTTTCTATAAAAAAAAATTATAACATTTGAAATAAGAACAATAGCAACTAATATTTATACTCTTCAATACGACAACCCTAACCCTTGATATTAAACTTTTGCGTTAATATTGATGACTTACCAGATCATCTAACATTGTAGAAGTGCTTTTCCCCTTTGGATCAAAACCATTTTTTCTGAGTCGCTGTCCAATATATTCACCACTAAAAAGGTTTTTAAAAAACTTTGTTCAGAAAGTGTGTCCTTACATATGAACAATTTATGATCACATTTATCCTGATACAGCACAGTAAATTTATTTCATGCTACTTACAGCAAAGTTTTAACATCTCTCTTCACTCACTTGGCCTCCATTTGAAACACTTAATTCTAAATGTCTTTATTAAAAAATTTAGTCTGTAACAATAGCAGAAATCCCATTAAAACAGCAACATTAGAAAAAAGAAACATTACATGTAAAAAAAAAAAAAAAACTAGTAGAACTTTACCTAGTAGTTAATCCTCTGCCAGGGGCAAGACTAAACAGGAAGCAAACTATATTTTGGCTTATTACGAACAGGAAAATTGAGACAGGATGTCTAACACACAAGTGTTAGGTTACCATCTGATGTGACTAACATTTGAAAGATACAAGTTGGAAAGAAAATACTGATTAAATAAAAAAATAGTCTGTGGCTATAAGCTCAAAACATTTGAATTCAATGCCTTTTCTTAATAAGACCGATCACCTCTACAAATAGAAAATTATAATTTTTCACAAAAACACACAGAAATTATCTATAACACTTATCACACAATCACTATAACACTGTCGGCCAGTGCCTGGTTACATAACACACAGACTCATATAACAAAGAGTGAAAAATTTAAGGGGGTCTGAATACTTTCAGTACCCACTGTATATCTTGATAGTAAAAAGATAAGGAAATGAGCAAAGCTGACTTCCATATGACCAGTAATGAATGCCACAAAGGGTTGAAAAGGAAAATTAAGTTAATAATAAATTGCAAATAGAGCAGGTTCTCTTTATCAACCATTAAAATAAATATCATCTAAAATTCAAACAATATTTCCTATATATACACACAAGAATGAAACTGAGCTATAAAGGCAAATTAACAGCTGTGATTAAAAATGATTTAATACTTTAATATCGTTCTATTAAACATTTTCATTACATAAAAAGACAAAAAGTAGAGAAAAACCAAATAAAAATCTGAAATCAATAAATGGGAAAATCAGTCCTAAGTTAATTTCTTCTTCTTTTTGTCTTTGAACACCGGAGAGTTTAAGAATTTTGTATCAGAGTATTTGTCCCCACGCCTCATCTTGCTGTAAAAAAAAAGAAAGAAAAGAACACAGAAATACATTATATTTTATTGCATTACTTTAGACTATGCTATATTATTTGATCAAAAGCCCCTTATGATGACGATTAAATCAAGGCTTTCGTTCACCCTGCCCGGTATGGGGTCACCAGGGCCTTTGCTGTGCAGGGCTCACCCCTAAACCATGATGTGGAGCCGCTATTCGGTGGGCTCACCACCTGCCGGAGAGGCCGTAGGGGGCCGGTGCGTTGTGATTTGAGCGGTGGTTGGGGCCGAGTGGCTGGCCGACCCAAACCTCGGGTGCCAACTCTGGTTTTTGGGACTTGGAATGTCACCTCACTGGCAGGAAAGGAGCCTGAGCTGGTACAGGAGGTTGAGAGATACCGTCTAGATATAGTCGGGCTCACTTCCACTCACAGCTTGGGTTCTAGAACCACTCTTCTCGACCAAGGGTGGACTCTCCACTATTCTGGCATTGCCCAGGGTGAGAAGCGGCGAGCTGGTGTGGGCTTGTTAATAGTCCCCCAATTTAGCCGCCATGTGTTGGAGTCCACCCCGGTGAATGAGAGGGTCGTTTCCCTGCGCCTTCGGGTCACTCACTGTTGTTTGTGCTTATGTGCCTAACTGCAGTGCAGAGTACCCGGCCTTTTTAGAGTCCCTGGGGGGTGTGCTGGAAAGCGCTCCCACTGGGGACTCTTGGGGGACTTAAAGCCCACGTGGGCAGTGACAGTAACACCTGGAGGGGTTTGAACCCGATTGGTGAGTTGTTATTGGATTTCTGTGCTAGTCACGGTTTGTCCATAACAAACACCATGTTCAAGCATAAGGGTGTCCATCAGTGCACGGGGCACCAGGACACCCTAGGTTGGAGGTCGAATTTGTAGTCATTTCTTCTGATCTTCAGCCATATGTCTTGGACACTCTGGTAAACATATAGTAAGGGTCTGTTGGGAACGTTTGGCCCCCATCAGAGAGGTCTTCAACTCCCACCTCCGACAGAGCTTCAACCAGGTCCCAAGGGAGACTGGGGACATTGAGTCTGAATAGACTATGTTCCACACCTCCATTGTCGGGGCAGCAGTTCGGAGCTGCGGCCGTAAAGTCTCTGGCGCCTGTCGTGGCAGCAATCCCAGAACACAGTGGTGGACACCGGAGGTAAGGGATGCTGTCAAGCTGAAGGAGGAGTTATGTCGGGTCTGGCTGACCCATGGGACTCCTGAAGCCACTGATGGGTACCGGCGGGCCAAGCAGAACGTGGCTCTGGCAGTCGCAGTGGCAAAAAAAGAGAGGGAAGTCTGGGGGGCTCTGCTCGAACTACTGCCCACACGACCCAGCCTCGAATAAGTGGAGGAGTTTGGTGAGGCCACGGAGGAAGACTTTCGGTCTGCCTCAAAGAGATTCTGGCAAACCGTCCGGCGGCTCAGAGGGGGGAAGCAGTGTTCCGCCAACACTGTTTACAGTGGAAGTGGTGCGTTGCTGACTTCAACTGAGGATGTCGTCGGGCGGTGGAAAGAGTACTTTGAGGATCTCCTCAATCCTTCCAACACGCCTTCCGTAAAGGAAGCTGAGGCTGGGGACTCGGGGGGGGGGAGTCTCCCTGGGAAAGTCTATGCCAGGGTACTGGAAAGAAAAATCCGACCGATAGTTGAACCTCGGATTCAGGAGGAGCAATGCGGTTTTCACTCTGGCCCTGGAACATTGGACCAGCTCTATACCCTCACTAGGGTGTTGGAGGGTTCATGGGAGTTTGCCCATCCAGTCCATATGTGTTTTGTGGACCTGGAGAAGGTATTCGACCATGTCCCTCTCATGGCATCCTGTGTGAGGTACTTCAGGATTATGGGGTTCAGGGCTCGTTGCTACGGGCTGTTCGTTCCCTGTATGACCGGAGCAGGAGCTTGGTTCGCATTGCCGGCAGTAACTTGTTTCCAGTGCATGTTGGACTCCGCCAGGGTTGCCCTTTGTCACCGATTCTGTTCATTATTTTCATGGACAGAATTACTAGGAGCAGCCAGGGAGTGGACGGTGTCTGTTTTGGTGGCTGCAAGATATCGTCTCTGCTTTTTGCGGATGATGTGGTCCTGTTGGCTTCATCAAATCAAGACTTACAGCGTGCACTGGAGAGATTTGCAGCCGAGTGCGAAGCGGCAGGGATGAGAATCAGCACCTCAAAATCCGAAGTCATGGTTCTCAGTCGGTAAAAAGGTGGATTGCCAACCTGGAAGGGGGGGGGGGGGGTTGCTCTTTCAAGTGGAGGAGTTTAAGTATCTCGGGGTCTTGTTCACGAGTGAGGGAATAATGGAGTGGCAGGTTAACAGACGGATTGGTGCTGCGTCCGCAGTAATGCGGTCATTGTACCGGTCTGTTTTGGTGAAGAAGGAGCTGAGTCTCAAGGCGAAGCTCTCAATTTACCAGTCGATCTACGTTCCTACCCTCACCTATGGTCATGAACTCTGGATCATGACCGAAAGAATGAGATTGCGGATAAAAGTGGCAGAAATGAGTTTCCTCTGCAGAGTGGCTGGGCGCACCCTTACGGATAGGGAGAGGAGTTCAGTCACCCCGGAGGAGCTCGGAATAGAGCCACTGCTCCTCCGCATCGAGAGGAGCCAGTTGAGGTGGCTCGGGCACCTGTTTCGGATGCCTCCTGGACGCCTCCCTGGTGAGGTGTTCCGGGACTATGTCTCCCAGCTGGCCTGGGAACACCTTGGGGTTCCCCCAGAGGAGCTGGAGGAGGTGTGCGGGGAGAGGGAAGTCTGGGGGGCTCTACTCGGACTACTGCCCACACGACCCAGCCTCGGATAAGCGGAGGAAGATGAGATGAGATATTATTTGAGTGTAACTCACCAGTTGAGGGCTGGTTCTTTGTAGGAGACTGGTGCTGCTCTTCTTCGTGTTCTCTCGAAATCAGAGTTATGCTCTGTATTTGTTAGACTCTTCATAACCCTGCCTTCTTCTGTTTGCAAAATAAAAATAAATATATAAGATACAAACAAACCTAAGACATATGTGAAATGCAAGAAAGGGAAAAATTAAAATTAATCTGCATTAAAAGTGTACTAATATGTATTGGCATAGGTTTACCTGGAGCTTGGTGCCTCAAGTCTGAGTCCTGGTCTTGGTAAATGTTCATAGTTTGACTGCGGGTCTCTGGTTGAGGGCTATGGGCAGAGCTTTCATCTGAGAGTGTTTCAGTGTAACCATCAAGGGTCTCCCAGGGAGGCCTCTCCTCTGTAAACTGAAGGTTTTTTGTGGGTCCACTAAAACCATCTGAAGTGACATTATATTTTTCCATGGCAAACATGCTTCTGTTAATGACAGATGAAACATTATCCATTTCATTAGTAAAAAGATCATGTTCAGAAATGTCACTGGAAGCTCCACTATCAGTTTTTTTCTTAATGGGGGATTTATGTGAAGATGAAACAACATATGTTTTCCTGCACCTGCCCTCAAGAGCTTGGTTGGTTTGATCTAGATTTATGCTAAGAGAGTCCATGTTAGTGTGGTTAGTCTGATCAAGCTTGTCAACAGAGGAAGGAGAGCTTATTCCAAGGGTTTCAGCATTACATTCATCCCTGAGGTCCTCCTCTGAGGCTGAGCAGTGAGATATTACTGGAAACTGTAAAGTATTAGACAAAGACCTGCCTCCTGCTCCATTCTGAAGATCAATCATATCTTGCCTTCCAGTCAACACATTTTCATCCATACGCACAGCACAAATGTTTTGTTTCTTTGTTAATGCTTTGGGTTTTTCTCTTGATGCAGCATTCTTCTTTTTTATTTTATCTTCCCCCTCTTTTCTGTGTTTTTTGGCTTTACCAGCCACTGATGACGTAAATTCAGAGGGTTCCTGTACAAGGCTGGCACTCACATCTTGTGAACATTCTGGATGATAGGTGTTTTCTGTCAATATCTTATGAAGAAAATCATGCTCTGGCGCCTTGTGCTGTTGTGCAACATTATCTGAACCAATATTGAGAGGTGTTGTTTGGGTTTCTGATATTACTTCCTGCAAACCTTCCGGTCTGTTGGGATCCTCTAATATATTGGTTTCATCCAAAAATGAATTCCTGTTGATGAATGATTGACTTGCCTGTATCACAAATGTTCCTCTGTTTTTCTGTGTCTTGCACTTTTCAGACTGAGGAAGTGGGTGTGCTGGAGTTTTGTTTTTATGTTTTTGAACAGCGGTCTCACCGACATGCACATCAGTACAAGCAGACTCGAAGCATAAACTACTGGCAGACTGGACATTTTCATGAACATCAGATAAACCGTGATCCATCATAAGGGACAAAACTTTGGTCTTCCTGATCTTCTGAGGTCTTAGCTCATCTTGAACTATAAATGTTCTCCTGGGTTCCTGCGTAGCATGGGACTCTTTAGCTTTGTTTTTAACAGCTTTACTTGAAGTATTTTCAATTGCCTTGCTTCTTTCAGAATTCTGAAGCTCGAGATCACTAAAACAATCATTAAAAATGTCATAAGGAGGATCTTGGGAGATTACGTATGTTTTTCTTGGGTCTGGGTATGGTTCCTTCCGTTTACCTGTACGTCTGCTACTTTTAGTACGAGAGGTGACGTGAGTCTTCCTGCGTGCAGTTATTGACTCTGTTTGCTGCCCATTTTCCACTTCATTCTGAACAGTAGGAGAGCACTGCTGTGTCACAGCGGTCGTCTCATTTGGCACAGCTGATGTATAGTCTGATCTACTAAATTCAATTGGTGAGTCTAACTTTGCAGATATAACCGCACTATCTTTTTCTGACAGACACAAACCCTTCTTTTCCTGATGTTCCTCTGTAACTCTAGAGGTTCTTCTTGCATTTGTTTCAACTGTTACTATTTCAGCAGCACTGTCACTAACGGTCACCTCCATTTCAGAGTCATATATGGTGTTTTGCTGTGCTGGACTGTCTCTTTCTTGGCTGGGATCATCACCGGCTGTATTCACTGGTTTAGAGTCATAGTTCTGCTGTGGACACAATGGTTTGTCTTGCAAACTCCCAGCTTCTTTCTCTATTTCAATAATTTGGTCTGAAAAATAAATCACAAATATATATATAAAAGAAAATCATCAAGACGTATTTAGCTTTAAATTACAAGGAAATTAATATCAGCTTAATTTCTATAAATTGGCATTACAGTGCCAATCATTCAAATATTAAACTTGACTGACATACTTAAGGAAACTTGTAATCAATTAACAGTCTACAATGTGTTTTCATACCTTTACTGGTGTTGTATCCAGAGTCTGGATCCTTTAAAAATAATAATAAGTGTTAACATGAAATTAATTATAATGAAAATAGTTCATAATAATGTTGTGTCTATTTAACAATTAGCTATTTGTGAAAATCAACAAAGTCCTCATGATAATAATAAATATTACTACCATGCTGATCATTATTAATAACAACAAAAACGGCAATATAATTTAATTATTCAAAAAATATATACAGCTTACCTCCTCATTGCAAAAAATATCAACTGCCTTTGTCATCCAGTTAAGGGAAGAGTCATAAAACTCTCGTATAATGGCAAACTAGAGTCAGAAAAATCATTAACTACATATATTGTTATGAATAATTCATAATGATGTATGTTTGTTGTTTTTAAAGTACAGTGCAAGGTCAATGTGTTCAATAAATATAAGACTGATTTTGACTTATGCCTGTACAACATAAATAAGTGTATACAAATAAAAGTGTACAGTGTATAAATATAAGGGTCAGGTATCCAAGACTGAAATTCATACTTCACTGTCACAGACTCACCAGTTGTTTGTTTTTATGACGCCGTTGAGCAAGATCAAAATGATTTGTCTGTGCTTCTTTCCTCAGTCGCACCACCTCTGCCTCCAGCTCTCTGCTCTTCTGCTTCTGAGCAACCAGAGCCAGAGTCAGAGCCTTGTTGTTGCTTTTCAAAGAAAGCTTGAAGAATGATGAGGTATCTGAGAGATAATGAAGGTCCGGGTATTGCCATTGGTCAACACAGAACACAAACTACACCAGTAATAGCATTTCTTACTGTGTATCTTCGTCTTTATCTTTGCTGCGTACACGGTTGCCGTCTGTTTGCCCATTCTCATGTTTTCCTTCTTCTCTTTAGACGCCATTATCAGCGTTTTATCATTGGGAGCTGTAATGAAGACATGACTGATGATAATAATACCACGGCGGAATAATAAAACCGTTAGCAATATGAATCTATATTCCGACTACTCACCAGTAATAAAAGAAGACGACAAACTCGACTCTTGATGATGTTTATCTTTATACTTATTAAAATGCATTTCTACTCGGATAACAAATATTTAGCATACAAATAAACTCGGTTTATACTAATTCAAAACCAAACATCGCCGCGGAATCTTAAAATTCTTCTTCTCTTGCTGTAAATATTGTTTGTAGAATCAACTGCTTAAGTATCGCCACCTACTGGACTAAATCTGCAACGTGACACCTGCAGCGCACCATCCTCCTCCAGGTACTGGAAAATGTCATAATATGCTCCTGGGAGGAGGCATAGACTTTTGAACTCTGTAGAGGGAGGACATTCTATTTTAGTGAATTTCTATACATGCCACAGTTTGGATGTCCTGTACAGAGCACATGCAGGGCTTTTTTTTTTTTTTTTAGAGATATCAGATGTTTGGAGGTTTGATCATAAACACTCCCTCTCCTTGGTCTTTAGATAAGACTGATATTGACAGAATTATCAAATGTAGCACTTTTAGGGAAATCTGATAATGTATTGTAATTATCATTTAAATCTGCCCAATTTTTTAATTGTTTGTCGTAAACAAAAATCTCAGAAAAATGTTATGGGGTTGCAAATCGAAATATGACTTTTTGTTACAAAACAGGGCATCATTTTCATACATGTCTTCTGTAGAGGACACCAGGACAAACGGCATGCTAATCTGGCATTTTGGGGAGACACAACAAGTCAATAGGGAAAGAAATTATAGATCAAAATTCCTATGAAATATGAGATATTCTTATGAAAAGGTTGCCAAGTTATTACTCCCATTATTACACTTCTTTTTATCATTATTATGGTTTGCCCCAAGAACACATCAATATGCAAATTAGATGCAATGTATAGATACATTGTATAGAATGGGGAAACCAATTTATGGACATTTCACGCACATATTCCATAAAGTACAGTAGTATATCAAACCATTCTGTTATATCTTTCATAACATAGATGAGAATCATCTTTGTACAAAATTTGGTTACAAATAGCCTGAAACCTAAAAACTGATTGGTGAATGAAAAAATAAAACATTGTTTTTGCCTTACATGCCTTTTCATGTCGACTTATTTTATAAGTATAACTTAGTCCTGGCGTCCTCTACAACGAATAAAATATACTTTTTAAAATATATATTTAATAAATATATATTTAAGAGTGGTGAGAAACATAGTTCAGGAGCAAGTGCATGGCTCTGGGCAAAGTTAATTTGATCACATTCTGAAGAGCATTACATGATCAAGCAACTGCTGTAGACGCGGGGGAACGTGTCACTGAGCTCTCTGTTGTCATAATTGAGAGAGAACAAGAGCGAGAAAGAGAGGCTGGCAGTAACAGGAAATCCTGAATCATGCTGGCTTTTGATCTGCTCCATCTGCCATGGCATCATGTGAACAAACTGCGACATTCAGTCACCAAAGTTGCCAAGCAGTCAAAGATTATTATTCACAGTTGTCTATACAATGAATATCAGTGGGTGCTCAGCGATACTATTGCATTTTGCATTCCAGTATACAGAGATATAGAGTATAGGACATATTTCACTGAACCATGATGCATTATGGGGAGATGTGAGGATTTAGAATTTTTAAGTCTTTTAGCATGGAATATTAAAGTAGAAGTAAGCAGTGTTGAATGTATCATTTGAAATGTTGTCTACGGTCATTGTCATTGTTTTTTACATTGTAAAAAAAATTGTTGTAAATAAATAAATAAAAGATTGTTGCAGTACGTTTACAAGACAACATTGTTTTCAGTGTAGCCGTAGTTACCATATAGCTACTCAGAAAAAATTAATATAAATTCAACTGTAATGTAAACTAAATAAATTACACATTTACATTATTTACTTGAGTTGCTCCCTCAAGTGGAGGAGTTTAAGTATTTCGGGGTCTTGTTCACGAGTGAGGGAAAAATGGAGCGGGCAGGTTGACAGATGGATTGGTGCTGCTTCCGCAGTAATGCGGTCATTGTACCGGTCTGTTTTGGTGAAGAAGGAGCTGAGTCTCAAGGCGAAGCTCTCAATTTACCAGTCGATCTACGTTCCTACCCTCACCTATGGTCATGAACTCTGGATCATGACCGAAAGAATGAGATTGCGGATAAAAGTGGCAGAAATGAGTTTCCTCTGCAGAGTGGCTGGGCGCACCCTTACGGATAGGGAGAGGAGTTCAGTCACCCCGGAGGAGCTCGGAATAGAGCCACTGCTCCTCCGCATCGAGAGGAGCCAGTTGAGGTGGCTCGGGCACCTGTTTCGGATGCCTCCTGGACGCCTCCCTGGTGAGGTGTTCCGGGACTATGTCTCCCAGCTGGCCTGGGAACACCTTGGGGTTCCCCCAGAGGAGCTGGAGGAGGTGTGCGGGGAGAGGGAAGTCTGGGGGGCTCTACTCGGACTACTGCCCACACGACCCAGCCTCGGATAAGCGGAGGAAGATGAGATGAGATATTATTTGAGTGTAACTCACCAGTTGAGGGCTGGTTCTTTGTAGGAGACTGGTGCTGCTCTTCTTCGTGTTCTCTCGAAATCAGAGTTATGCTCTGTATTTGTTAGACTCTTCATAACCCTGCCTTCTTCTGTTTGCAAAATAAAAATAAATATATAAGATACAAACAAACCTAAGACATATGTGAAATGCAAGAAAGGGAAAAATTAAAATTAATCTGCATTAAAAGTGTACTAATATGTATTGGCATAGGTTTACCTGGAGCTTGGTGCCTCAAGTCTGAGTCCTGGTCTTGGTAAATGTTCATAGTTTGACTGCGGGTCTCTGGTTGAGGGCTATGGGCAGAGCTTTCATCTGAGAGTGTTTCAGTGTAACCATCAAGGGTCTCCCAGGGAGGCCTCTCCTCTGTAAACTGAAGGTTTTTTGTGGGTCCACTAAAACCATCTGAAGTGACATTATATTTTTCCATGGCAAACATGCTTCTGTTAATGACAGATGAAACATTATCCATTTCATTAGTAAAAAGATCATGTTCAGAAATGTCACTGGAAGCTCCACTATCAGTTTTTTTCTTAATGGGGGATTTATGTGAAGATGAAACAACATATGTTTTCCTGCACCTGCCCTCAAGAGCTTGGTTGGTTTGATCTAGATTTATGCTAAGAGAGTCCATGTTAGTGTGGTTAGTCTGATCAAGCTTGTCAACAGAGGAAGGAGAGCTTATTCCAAGGGTTTCAGCATTACATTCATCCCTGAGGTCCTCCTCTGAGGCTGAGCAGTGAGATATTACTGGAAACTGTAAAGTATTAGACAAAGACCTGCCTCCTGCTCCATTCTGAAGATCAATCATATCTTGCCTTCCAGTCAACACATTTTCATCCATACGCACAGCACAAATGTTTTGTTTCTTTGTTAATGCTTTGGGTTTTTCTCTTGATGCAGCATTCTTCTTTTTTATTTTATCTTCCCCCTCTTTTCTGTGTTTTTTGGCTTTACCAGCCACTGATGACGTAAATTCAGAGGGTTCCTGTACAAGGCTGGCACTCACATCTTGTGAACATTCTGGATGATAGGTGTTTTCTGTCAATATCTTATGAAGAAAATCATGCTCTGGCGCCTTGTGCTGTTGTGCAACATTATCTGAACCAATATTGAGAGGTGTTGTTTGGGTTTCTGATATTACTTCCTGCAAACCTTCCGGTCTGTTGGGATCCTCTAATATATTGGTTTCATCCAAAAATGAATTCCTGTTGATGAATGATTGACTTGCCTGTATCACAAATGTTCCTCTGTTTTTCTGTGTCTTGCACTTTTCAGACTGAGGAAGTGGGTGTGCTGGAGTTTTGTTTTTATGTTTTTGAACAGCGGTCTCACCGACATGCACATCAGTACAAGCAGACTCGAAGCATAAACTACTGGCAGACTGGACATTTTCATGAACATCAGATAAACCGTGATCCATCATAAGGGACAAAACTTTGGTCTTCCTGATCTTCTGAGGTCTTAGCTCATCTTGAACTATAAATGTTCTCCTGGGTTCCTGCGTAGCATGGGACTCTTTAGCTTTGTTTTTAACAGCTTTACTTGAAGTATTTTCAATTGCCTTGCTTCTTTCAGAATTCTGAAGCTCGAGATCACTAAAACAATCATTAAAAATGTCATAAGGAGGATCTTGGGAGATTACGTATGTTTTTCTTGGGTCTGGGTATGGTTCCTTCCGTTTACCTGTACGTCTGCTACTTTTAGTACGAGAGGTGACGTGAGTCTTCCTGCGTGCAGTTATTGACTCTGTTTGCTGCCCATTTTCCACTTCATTCTGAACAGTAGGAGAGCACTGCTGTGTCACAGCGGTCGTCTCATTTGGCACAGCTGATGTATAGTCTGATCTACTAAATTCAATTGGTGAGTCTAACTTTGCAGATATAACCGCACTATCTTTTTCTGACAGACACAAACCCTTCTTTTCCTGATGTTCCTCTGTAACTCTAGAGGTTCTTCTTGCATTTGTTTCAACTGTTACTATTTCAGCAGCACTGTCACTAACGGTCACCTCCATTTCAGAGTCATATATGGTGTTTTGCTGTGCTGGACTGTCTCTTTCTTGGCTGGGATCATCACCGGCTGTATTCACTGGTTTAGAGTCATAGTTCTGCTGTGGACACAATGGTTTGTCTTGCAAACTCCCAGCTTCTTTCTCTATTTCAATAATTTGGTCTGAAAAATAAATCACAAATATATATATAAAAGAAAATCATCAAGACGTATTTAGCTTTAAATTACAAGGAAATTAATATCAGCTTAATTTCTATAAATTGGCATTACAGTGCCAATCATTCAAATATTAAACTTGACTGACATACTTAAGGAAACTTGTAATCAATTAACAGTCTACAATGTGTTTTCATACCTTTACTGGTGTTGTATCCAGAGTCTGGATCCTTTAAAAATAATAATAAGTGTTAACATGAAATTAATTATAATGAAAATAGTTCATAATAATGTTGTGTCTATTTAACAATTAGCTATTTGTGAAAATCAACAAAGTCCTCATGATAATAATAAATATTACTACCATGCTGATCATTATTAATAACAACAAAAACGGCAATATAATTTAATTATTCAAAAAATATATACAGCTTACCTCCTCATTGCAAAAAATATCAACTGCCTTTGTCATCCAGTTAAGGGAAGAGTCATAAAACTCTCGTATAATGGCAAACTAGAGTCAGAAAAATCATTAACTACATATATTGTTATGAATAATTCATAATGATGTATGTTTGTTGTTTTTAAAGTACAGTGCAAGGTCAATGTGTTCAATAAATATAAGACTGATTTTGACTTATGCCTGTACAACATAAATAAGTGTATACAAATAAAAGTGTACAGTGTATAAATATAAGGGTCAGGTATCCAAGACTGAAATTCATACTTCACTGTCACAGACTCACCAGTTGTTTGTTTTTATGACGCCGTTGAGCAAGATCAAAATGATTTGTCTGTGCTTCTTTCCTCAGTCGCACCACCTCTGCCTCCAGCTCTCTGCTCTTCTGCTTCTGAGCAACCAGAGCCAGAGTCAGAGCCTTGTTGTTGCTTTTCAAAGAAAGCTTGAAGAATGATGAGGTATCTGAGAGATAATGAAGGTCCGGGTATTGCCATTGGTCAACACAGAACACAAACTACACCAGTAATAGCATTTCTTACTGTGTATCTTCGTCTTTATCTTTGCTGCGTACACGGTTGCCGTCTGTTTGCCCATTCTCATGTTTTCCTTCTTCTCTTTAGACGCCATTATCAGCGTTTTATCATTGGGAGCTGTAATGAAGACATGACTGATGATAATAATACCACGGCGGAATAATAAAACCGTTAGCAATATGAATCTATATTCCGACTACTCACCAGTAATAAAAGAAGACGACAAACTCGACTCTTGATGATGTTTATCTTTATACTTATTAAAATGCATTTCTACTCGGATAACAAATATTTAGCATACAAATAAACTCGGTTTATACTAATTCAAAACCAAACATCGCCGCGGAATCTTAAAATTCTTCTTCTCTTGCTGTAAATATTGTTTGTAGAATCAACTGCTTAAGTATCGCCACCTACTGGACTAAATCTGCAACGTGACACCTGCAGCCTCCTCCACTCCTCCAGGTACTGGAAAATGTCATAATATGCTCCTGGGAGGAGGCATAGACTTTTGAACTCTGTAGAGTTCTATTTTACATGCAGGGTTTTTTTTTTTTTTTTAGAGATATCAGATGTTTGGAGGTTTGATCATAAACACTCCCTCTCCTTGGTCTTTAGATAAGACTGATATTGACAGAATTATCAAATGTAGCACTTTTAGGGAAATCTGATAATGTATTGTAATTATCATTTAAATCTGCCCAATTTTTTAATTGTTTGTCGTAAACAAAAATCTCAGAAAAATGTTATGGGGTTGCAAATCGAAATATGACTTTTTGTTACAAAACAGGGCATCATTTTCATACATGTCTTCTGTAGAGGACACCAGGACAAACGGCATGCTAATCTGGCATTTTGGGGAGACACAACAAGTCAATAGGGAAAGAAATTATAGATCAAAATTCCTATGAAATATGAGATATTCTTATGAAAAGGTTGCCAAGTTATTACTCCCATTATTACACTTCTTTTTATCATTATTATGGTTTGCCCCAAGAACACATCAATATGCAAATTAGATGCAATGTATAGATACATTGTATAGAATGGGGAAACCAATTTATGGACATTTCACGCACATATTCCATAAAGTACAGTAGTATATCAAACCATTCTGTTATATCTTTCATAACATAGATGAGAATCATCTTTGTACAAAATTTGGTTACAAATAGCCTGAAACCTAAAAACTGATTGGTGAATGAAAAAATAAAACATTTAGAATGTGGTACTGATTCTTGAGACATGGGACAAAACATGTCTAATTATAGGCTAAACAAAATAATTACTGAATATAATGTTTGATATGCAAAATATTGTTTGGTGACAATTCCATACATTAAAAAAAAATATTCAGAGGTTTTCAAACTTTACAGGGACTCCCTGCTTTCATAAAAAAAATATTATTGAAAGAAACAGTATTAAGAGTTAATTATGTAGCAAAGTTAAACATTAGCTATATATTTTCTTTACTGTTACCAATATATTTTCCAAACTAATAACATTACAGAACAACATAATACACACCAAAAAACAAACAAAAAAACATGTACATAAAACAATAAGTAAAACAAAATACATCAAACTATGCTGATTGCTGATAGTTAGGTAGCCTACCGATCAAAATGCAAATGATTCAAAAAGAAAGAAAGAAAGAAAAGGGTGATAAATAAAACCTGAAATACTATATTAAAATTACTATACTAAACTATATTAAAATACTATATTAAATTTAATTAAATATTACTTATGAATCAAGATGTGACTGAAAACAGGTTTCCACATTTTGTCAAATTAAGCAATGTTGCTAGAAATATTAATTCTTTCTAAATAGGAAGAGGCGAGTCCCGTTAGCCAAGGAGAAAAGACAAGCCTTGTACTCTTCTTCCACAGCGTCAAAATAATTCCATATCCTCCTGGGACCCAGGCATAGACTTTTGTCCTCTATAGAGGACATTATATTTTAGTGAATTCCTCTGATGCCACATATATGATTTCCCTATATGCCACAGTTTTCAGTCTGGATGTCCTGTACAGAACACATTCAGGGCTTTTTAGAGATATCAGATGTTTGGAGGTTTGATCATAAACACTCCCTCTCCTTGGTCTTTAGATAAGACTGATATTGACAGAATTATCAAATGTAGCACTTTTAGGGAAATCTGATAATGTATTGTAATTATCATTTAAATCTGCCCAATTTTTTAATTGTTTGTCGTAAACAAAAATCTCAGAAAAATGTTATGGGGTTGCAAATCGAAATATGACTTTTTGTTACAAAACAGGGCATCATTTTCATACATGTCTTCTGTAGAGGACACCAGGACAAACGGCATGCTAATCTGGCATTTTGGGGAGACACAACAAGTCAATAGGGAAAGAAATTATAGATCAAAATTCCTATGAAATATGAGATATTCTTATGAAAAGGTTGCCAAGTTATTACTCCCATTATTACACTTCTTTTTATCATTATTATGGTTTGCCCCAAGAACACATCAATATGCAAATTAGATGCAATGTATAGATACATTGTATAGAATGGGGAAACCAATTTATGGACATTTCACGCACATATTCCATAAAGTACAGTAGTATATCAAACCATTCTGTTATATCTTTCATAACATAGATGAGAATCATCTTTGTACAAAATTTGGTTACAAATAGCCTGAAACCTAAAAACTGATTGGTGAATGAAAAAATAAAACATTGTTTTTGCCTTACATGCCTTTTCATGTCGACTTATTTTATAAGTATAACTTAGTCCTGGCGTCCTCTACAACGAATAAAATATACTTTTTAAAATATATATTTAATAAATATATATTTAAGAATGTTTTTCTCCATTTTGCTCCAACCAATGTAATGACAATTTTTTTTTTTAAATCCTGCTTCTCAAGAGGATATCAATAACATAATATAAACTAGTAATGTTTTAAAGAAAAATAACAAATACATGCTAAAACAATCACATAACACAAAAAGAGAGGGGATTATGTGTATTTCAGAATAAAGGCTTGACCACAATATCGACTTGAATAGAAACATTGGCTATTTTCCATGTAAACGTGGTCAGAGCATCAAATACCTTCGTGACACTAAACAACGTGAATGATGCCGCATCGTCCCTAATATAAGAGAGTGTTTCGCTGACAATCGCGACCAAGCGGTAACTTTTATTTTGGAATTTGAGCCTGCACTTCCGGTTTGACGTCAGGCCAGTTGCTGAATTCACACACCCGCACTCACATATTCCCTTGAACTTCCTCCTCAGCTGTCAAAGCGTCTGCACACCATTGCTCGAGCTAGCAATATCATACTTTTTATTTAGAATATCAGACGGGGCTTAATCTGAGATGGAGGGCCAGCGCTGGTTACCACTGGAAGCCAACCCAGAGGTATGAATTTCTCACGATCTCAAGATTTTTTGTCGTTAATTCAATTTTATATCGTTCATGGGCTCGGTTTTTTTTTTTCAAAGTCAGCTTTTAGCAGGAACGGTAAGCTGCAGCTCATGTCTTTGACATCATATTTTATATGATACTGTTTTGTGTTCTGTGTCTGCTTTTCAGGTTATGAACCAAGTGAGTAGAGGTCTCGTCTGTCTGGGTGTGTCTAGGATTCAAAACTTGTGCCAAATGAATGAATCAGGTTTATTAAAGCACGTTTGTGTTAAAGCTAATTGCATCAAAATTGGTTCGTTATGTTTATCAGCAATACTGCGCTTAATATCAGTTTAACCTTACTGTATTTGCACTAATGTGAAATGTATTTTATGTTCCACATTAGTTTATTGTTGATATGTTTAAATAGAAACGCTTCTAGATTGTGTAGGCCCTTGTGTGCCTCTCACCATACAAATCTAACCTTTACTAGTCTTGTGAAATATGATTTGTGTTTAATATGTATGTGTTGTGTTATACTTTTTTTAAGTTTTTACGGCAGCTTGGCTTGGTACCCACCTGGCAGTTTGGAGATGTGTACGGTTTGGAAGCTGAAGTTCTCAGTTTGGTGCCGAGGCCTGTGTGTGCTGTACTTTTGCTCTTTCCTATAACAGAGAAGGTATGAATGCAGTTTATACCCATATTGACTTCATGTCAGCAAACAAGCTCTGTATTTATAGATGCCTGTTTGTAAATGATGAAGTTGCAACTGGATACGGGTGTTGCTGGCATCAACTAAGCTTGCAAATTATATCAGATCATAGTTTTATAGATTTTTTAATGCAAGGCTCTTTCTCTATTTGACATGATATGGTAATTCCCTTTTAATATATATTTTAAAGTGGTGTATTATTTTACTAAAGGTTAGGTCTAAATAAAACGGAACAGAAAAGTCTCATCATGAGTTTCTCTCTTCACCATGACCCAAAATAAAATGAAATAACTGATTTTGCAGCACCAACATTTTTAATGATATTTATGATCATTTGAGCATTTTTTTTTCAGTTGAAGTGATAGTTTACCAATAATAATTTTGTGGTTATGTAATTAGTGTTAGTAACAATAAGAGTATAAAAACTTGTGAATGATTTTTATATATATATATATATATATACACTGAACAAAATTATAAATGCAACACTTTTGTTTTTGCCCCCATTTTTCATGAGCTGAATTCAAAGATCTAAGACTTTTTCTATGTATACAAAAGGCCTATTTCTCTCAAATTTTGTTCACAAATCTGTGTAAATCTGTGTTATTGAGCACTTCTCCTTTGCCGAGATAATCCATCCACTTCACATAGAAAAAGTCTTAGATCTTTGAGTTCAGCTCATGAAAAATGGGGGCAAAAACAAAAGTGTTGTTTATAATTTTGTTCGTTGTGTATGTATGTGTATATGTATATGTATGTGTGTATGTATGTATGTGTGTATGTGTATATATATAAAAATTAGGGTAGTTAGGTTTCAGCATGACACAGGATGTGACAAAAATTGTTACACAGTCCTGAGGCAAATTCCAGTCAGATGAATAAAGCATCTTTGTCATTCTTGTAAATTATTATTAGTATTTTAAAGATGCACTAAGTGATTTTTTTTCCAAACGATGTTGATATTTGAAAGCACCTAAACAAAACTGCCCATACCCCAACAGGACCTCACCCTATTTTGATAACTCCGCCCCACACGTACGAACACAACCCTGGCGGCGACGATGGCGGAATCTGCTATGCCTGCCAGCCACAGCATATTCAAGCAGAAGCCAACACAGAAAAGTTGTGTGAAAAAGCAAAATCAATGTAACTCGCCTATCAAGAAGAAACAAAGCAACCTCGGCGTCCGATTCCCTTCCATTCCTTGAGTTCCTCCACCGCTGGAAAGTCCTCTTGCCTGATCGTAGCTCTTCTTTTTAATGTTTTGTTCCTCCGAAATGTTCCTTTTTTTTATCTGCCATCTCTCGCTATCTATAGTCGATCAGCTAATATCCGTCCTGTGCACTCACTCACTGAGTGTTCTCTTCTCCCTATCATCACTAGATACGCCTCCTTACTGCTGATTGGCTGTGAGTGTGTTTTGGGACTCAGTCAGACACTGTGGTCAAAAGTGTTTTTCAAAATCGCTTAGTGAACCTTTGTAATATTTACTGTAAATTAAAATTTAGTAATATCCTTTTCCTCAATGTAGTATGAAACATTTAGACGGGAGGAGGAGGCAAAAATGAAGGCACAAGGACAAGAGTTGTCCTCTGATGTGTACTTCATGAAGCAAACCATCGGCAATGCTTGTGGTACAATAGGGCTGATTCATGCTGTGGCAAACAATCAAAGGTATCTGGAGTTTGGTAAGTATCAGTTTTTTTGGAGTGATTTCACCGGTTTTGAAAAATATTAGTCAGTGCACTTGGTATGGTCATGACATTTCTTTTTTTGACAGAGCCCAATTCACCGCTTAAGGCATTTTTACTGCAGTCTGCAAAGATGAGCCCAGAAGAAAAGGCAGCTTTCCTTGAAAAAGATGAGGTGATAAAATATTATATATTTATTGCAACTGAATGGCCTCTGAAGGAATTAACCAAACTAAACTTTTCTTCATAGTACTGATATTTTTATGATTTCAGAGTATCCGAGTAACACATGAGTCAAGCGCCCAGGAAGGACAAACAGAGGTTGGTATTTGCTAAATACAGAGTAATTGCTTATACAGCATCCAAAACAGTACAGAGTATTTGCACACATTTTAAAGTTTATTCCCACTGATGAATTTTCCATGTAATGTTGTTTTGTTAATGTTGAAGTAGCAGAATTTTGCAAATTGGACCATGTTGAGATATTGGAATGTAAGTCCTAGATTCACAGTTTCTTAAAAAAAAATAGAGGCAAAGAGGTCCAGCTCATTTATTTAATAATTAATTCTGAACCCATATATTAACACTTCAGATTTTGCATATCTGTGATGTCTGAGGCAGATTTTTTTTAAAGTCAAAATAAAAGCAAACTTGACAATCCTTATTGGGGAAAAAAATTAATATTGCAGTGTTTTTATTATAAATTAAATATATAAATGCAAATTTTTTTCTTGTAATCTTTAATCAAAATTAAAAGTTCTCCTCACACTTGCAAAAATATCCCTGATGATGTGTGCACAGGTGAGAGGATTGGAAAATAATACCTCGCCACCCGCAACCTGACACTCACAGAGTGATCGCAGAAATATACAATAACCCAATCAATTCCCAATGGACAAAATCAAGTCTTGCCCTACTTTTTTTTTCGATTCAACTATCCAATCAACACTGTCTAATTGTCTTGTGAGCTACCGTCCTATCCTCACTTTAGATCTTGGCAACTGCAAATCCAAGAATTATTGCTGCAGTCACATCTGCCTACAGTATGACCTTTCCAATCTGGTTTCACTACTTTCTACAGGACTGACATGCTCTCTTAATTCTTCATAAATTCTGAGGACTTAAGTATTCTCATTGTGTTGGATCTCAGCTTTTTTATTGCTGTTCCAGTGTCAGAGAAAAATTCTAACATGCTAATTATTTACTCTTCTCACCCTTATAGGCCCCAAGTTTAGATGAAAAAGTGGATTTGCATTTTATCGCCTTTGTAAACGTTGAGGGACATTTATATGAACTGGGTAGGTAAATTTAATTTTGCATGATACATTTTGTCATTGTTTTAGGAACTTGTCACACAAAATGTAGAGATGTGCAGCATCAACACTTATACATAATTATTATGTGCAACATTATGAAGGGATATATTACAGGTGTTCATATTTTGTTAATGTGTTTCAGATGGACGCAAACCTTTTCCAATTGTTCATGGGAAAACAACAGAGGACACATTTCTTGAGGTGGGATTTTTCTCATTCATGGGCTATAGATGTAAAGATTATCTCTAGCAATGGATGTATATTTGCAACTTGTTTTGTTTGTAGGCATTAGCTACATTTACATGGATTCCTTTTGTTTCAATCGGAATTAAATCGTTCTGATTGATGAATCAGAACGTAGTGTTTACATGAACGCTAAATAAAGGGATTGAGTTGGTGTGCACGTTTATGTCACAAGCTTCAAATCAAATTCGATCTTTTGACGTGTGTGCACACTGCTTGAATATACAGTTTCCCATCACTTCTTTTCTTTGTTTTAAAGGGCAGACTTAAAATCGATCTATTTCTGGTCCTAATTAGGAGACGAGGAGCACATGAAGATTTTAGCCGTGCTGCTTATATTTATTAAGCAGTAAACTCGCCAATTCCAAAAAAAAGCCGTCTGTGGATGAGTGTAAGAAGCGAGGACTGATGTGACGTTATTCTGCTCCACTTCACAGACAGTGAGTGGAAGGAGAAATTTAGAATATCATGACAGTAATTTATGACACTTATGGCATCATATGCCATTTCTACGTCACTGCACGTGCACTGTACTTTCCCGTTTCCGTTTTCAATCCAGTCAAGTGTCCTCTCAATTAGATTAGAAAAGGTCTACACCACCCCTTTCAATCTGATCAATTTCATTCAGATCGAGCTCAATCGGATCGTTTGCTGTGTTTACATGAAGGATTTTCAGTCTGATTGAGCCATCAGTCTGATTACTAACAGATTATTTAGTTGCATGTAAAAGTAGCTATTGTTTAAACCGTTGTGGATTGGGGGCCCATTTTTATGCATTTGGTATGTTTTTGCCTACTCCTACAGGATTCTGCTGAGGTCTGCAAGAAGTTCATGGCACGTGATCCCCAGGAGCTCCGTTTCACTGTGGTGGCTCTTTCCAAAGCATAAATGTTCTTGTTATTTTACCTAAGAGAAAAACTGCCAATCATTCAGAAGTGCTGAATACTTCAAACCTTTATAGGTTCAATTTTGACTTTGAATAAAAAAAAAAGTTTGTTAAAGATTTTGACCATAACGAAGAAAGCAAATGAGAAGCAAATTTGCTAATATTAAAAAGTGTGCATGCACATAAAAAAATGTTGTATCTGAATGTTTACAACTCTCTGATTGAAATAATTGTTAATTTCTCCAAAATTATAAAACATTTTGTTGATGATATTAATTCACCTAATGGTGGTGTTCTTTTTTTCTGCTGGAAAAAAAGATTGATTTAAAATAAAAGTTCTCCTGATGAATATGTAGACTTACCATGTTTTGACACAAAAATGACAGGAGTGTCGGTGTGCCATTGTGTCATTGCATATGGTGTCCTACTTCTAAATACAGTTTTCTCATGAATACAGCAAACAATTCAGATGAGACTAAAACAATAAAGAACAAATTTCCAATGTTTTCATCTCATGGTGACCTCATTGCTGTATTATGAGTGACAATAGTTCACTCGCTGAATACTCAAGCAATGATTAATGTGCATCTTTTGTTTACATCCAGATGTTTTTTTCCTTCAAAACAGCAAAGTTCTCTAAAAATAAATTTAACAAAAATAACTGATTCGGATTTATATTTGGTTTTAAGACATTAAGTATAGTTATATTTAAGATAAATATTTATTTGTTTTTGTACAATGTATTACTTACAATACATGCCTCCTCTTGAATACTTGATTCTGATTGCTCAGTTGCAGCATTCAGTGGGAAGAATAATGACTGTTGTGCAGGGGAAATCAGGAAAGCGTTGCTTGTATATTGTAGCTGTGATTTTTCTTTCAATCTTCTTTTTTAAGTGAACTATTTGGTAAATAACCATTTAAAAAGTAGATCATGTACGGTCAGCTGGTTATTATTGCAAAATAAAGTTTTGATTGGCTCAGCATTTCTGGACACAGTGGTATTTTTATTCTCGCATAATACAATTTAGTTAAAATAATTTTAACATCTTAACCAGCTGACCGAAATCTATCCCTTATTTATGTATTTACTACAGTAGTTACTTGTCCTACACTAGAGAAATCTAAATAAAATAGCAAAAAGTAAGTAACCTTTTTAAATTAAATCAAAACTGTCTTGTATTTAACTTTAAAAGTCGTCAATCTTTGCTTGAGTGCCATTTGATCTGCCTGTGTAGATTTACTTGTGTAGATCCCGTGTAGTCTACTTGTAAACACGTATTGAACTAAATCTACAGACATTAGTGTTTTTTCCCCAAAGGAGCTTTATTGTGCCCTCGGCTCCTGTAATGTAATCTGACAGTAGTTTAGGTGTGTGTCTTGACGCACTAGGGGGCGTATAAAGTACACTACGCAACTAAAGTTTCTCAGGAATAAAAGGACAAGAGGAGATTTAAGATTTTACGGCTGTTATAAGATCTTTGCTCGTTGACGTTCGACAGAGTGATAGTTGTGATACTGGTAGTCGAATACAAAAAGCGCTTACCTGCTGACTTTAGTTTTAAAGAAACCAGGCAGTGTTCAAAATATTCACACGACGCGGCAGAACAGAACGCTCGCGGTTTAACTGTACGCGCGTCTTGCTCGCGTTTTCGCGTTTCCTTACCGCTTCACCAAGAAGTGCACTTAAAGCCGGTGATGGAGTGGCGACCGCAGTCTGCAGTGGGTTATGAGGCTGCTTACTCAGAAGCACAGAGATGGATTGAGGTAAGAACTTCCACACCTGCTCTCATTTAGATGTAGCTAGTTCAGGGAAATGACACTTGATGCTGCCAAACTATGAGGTAGCCAAAATGAAAAGGCACTGATTCGATTCATTAACTCGTGCTGAACACACCCAGACCTGTTGAATTCGTGCTTATGATCATTTGTAAAACCTGGCAAAAATATAACATTTGGTGCTGCATGCAAAATTGTAATAAGTAGGTATGTTTTGATGGTTACGTTTATCTCATATTTGTAATAAGTTCAGCTTCCTCTTTTGCTTTTCAACTTCTTGACTTTTACTTTTGCTAAACGCTGCATTGGTAGTTTTGTCAGTATTTAAGTGTGTATTTAAATAAATAAAGGTTTCATTTAGTGTAACATTTCTAGTACCCTGTGACACTTTATATCACTGTCAATAGGGATTTGGGATAGTTCACCCAAAATGTAAATTATGTCTTTTTATACTTCCTTTCATGTCGTTCCAAACCTGAATGACTTGAATTCTACTTCGGGACACAAAATAAGATATGCTGTAAAATGTTGGAAACCCAACAGTTTTGGTTCCCATTTACTTTTATTTTATTATTTTGTCCATTCAATGGAAGTCAGTGGGACCAACATGTTTACCAATATTCTGTCAAAATATCTTGTGTTCCAAATATCTGTGTTCCAAAGAAGAAACAAAGTCATACAATTTGAAACGATGGAAAGTAAATGATGACAGAATTTAATTATTGAGTGGAGTATCCCTTTGAAGAACTCAAAAAACGGATCTATTTTCTTTTTCCGTCAAGCTCAGTGTGGAAAGTAGTCCTGCAACAATTTTCACACGCTTTACTCGGTTTATTCCTCTAAACCCTCTGGAACGCTATTAGTCTAGGGCACAAATGATTAGGACTTTCCTATCCTTGTGAATTCCCTTCTCAGCAGGAGATGGCAGGGCCAAAGCACTGGCTGTAACTGAACAAATATTGTTCTTAATTCATGAGGGGTGAATCTGAATGCTTTCAGTGTGACATCAGTCTCGCACACATGCACACTGGTTCATTGTCACAGGCAGTGGACCTTGGCAGGGCAGTTTCAGCCCCAAGCCGATTGCTCCCCTGCAGAGGAAGGTGATGTGCCGTTTAGCGTCCGATCTGAATGACTAACGGGTTGTCAGGCGTGAGGGCGCACTGAGCAGTGCTGGAGTCTGAGTGTTTAAGTGTGTAGGGTGTTATAGTCAGCTGAATGATCTGGAGTTTGTCACATGTGCTCATTCTTGCACCAGGCACCCGGTCTGTGGGCAGAGACATTCCTGTTTTTCCTCCGGGGTAGTTCTCAGCTTGTTAAAGTCAAACCTAAAATTAGCCATCCTTCTGAAGTTGCTTAGTATATCTAAGAGTAGAAAGTTGTCATTAGCCACTGTGGCTAAATCATTCTTGCAGTGAAATCATATTAAATACTTAGAAACCTGCTTAAAGTACATTTATTATACATTTAATATTTAATCTCACTTCATTTCACTGGTGATCATTGAATGGTTATTAATGTTGAAGTAAATGTGGGTCATCTAATTTGAAGTTAAAATTAAGTCCATCTTTTTGGGATGTTTTTGAAATAATTTTTAGAAAAGTAAAAAGCATTTGTTTACAGATTTAAATGAAACATCTATTAGGTATCCTGGCTGTTGTTTCTAGCCTGAAATGACCCCAGAGGTGTGTTGAGCATTTCCTCCCCAAAATTTCTTCATGTTCAGCAGACCCTGTTTGGTCAAAGGGATTAAAGCACTTTGGCACAATTAACGTTGTGCAGCATTCTGTGCGTGCAAACAGCTTGGAATGCCTCATCGCTCCTTCATGAATGAACAATAGCTGTGTGCAAAAGTGCAGCTGAATAAAAATCATGTCTTACATCATCAAAACATACTATTTAAATGAGTGCAGTCACAATGTGAGCTTAACTAACAAACAGTTTGGGGGAGTTGGTAGTAGAATAGATGATATGTGGAGGTAAGGATGTGAAATGGTTTAATTTTTAATTGTTTGTGTGTGTTAATGTATGTGTGTTTTTATTTTTTGAAGGCAGCATTTATTTGATCAAAAATACAGTAAAACAATAGTAAAATATTATTGCAAATTAAAATAACTATTTTATTTACAATATCTGTTTTAATATATTTAAAAATGTAATTTAGTCCAGTGATGGCAGAGATACATTTTCAGTAGCCATTTTTCAGTGTCACATGATCCCTCAAAAAATCATTGCAATGTGCTAATTTAGTGCTCAGAAAACATTTCTTATTATTGTCAATGTTGAAAACATGCTTTTTGCAACTGTGATTGTAATGAATTCTTGCTGAATAAATCATTCTTCTTTAAATAAATAATTTTTTCCTATTACAATACTATATTCTATTACATTTAATAAATAGTACCTTCTTCCGACATTAAATTATAGTGGATTACAGCAATGCAAGATTATTAGGTAAACTCCCAAACTAAATTCAAATTTGCTGAGCAGAGTGGATTTATTTCTTTATTTATTTGTGTTTCAATTGTATTTATTTATTTATTAGTTTTTTTGTTGTTGTTAATTTGTTTATTGGTTATATAAGTGATTTGTTCAAGCTCTCAAATTATCCTTCACCTGCTACAGAGATCTGTTTAAAAACAAAAAACTATCATGGACATTACAATGACAGGAACAGCAGGGGTCAGGATTTCATGTCATTGAACTCTGATGTTTACTGCACAATGGTGTGTGAATGTGCTCCATATGATTAACCTCTTGTCTCTTCACAATCCATATCTGTGAGGGTTTGTAATGGTTACATAAATCTACATGAAGGGTACAGGAAGTTATTCGTCATTCTGTGCCAAATAATGTGATCTTTAATATTATGTATTCTGATACATAATGGACCTTTTTGGCCATATTAGAAGATAATCTTATTAGTTATCTAGACATTGAAAGATTTAGATCAGTGTTACAGGGGATACAAAATTCCTGTTTAAATGATCTACCTTCAGTTTGTAATTTGCAGTGTAACTCGATCTAATATGAGGATAGTATTTGTCCACACATTATTTTTGTCCTTGTTTTGTTCAGCAGACATAGGAAGTGCCCTTTGAAATTCTGCTTCTAAAAGAGAACAATTGCGGTTCAAATCTCAGTCAATACTGATCTCAACATAACCAGTGTCCTTTTACATGTAGGCTCTCCACACCCTCTAAATTCATGCCATGTTCCTGGGCAACAGCCAAGTAAAAGCAGCTTAAGAGTGTGCTATTCTAAACAACAGACTTCATGTTATTGATAAGTGGTTACACTTTATTGACATCTCAAGATTTCTGTATGGCCTGATTTTTTTTCTTAGTTAGCTGAGTTTCTTAAATGTGATGTTTTTTAGACCAGTAGCATATTATAAAATACTTAAAGTATTACTCATAATGATGTTGTCTCATGAAAGCTAAACGAGCAAATCTGTTTTTACTGGCATTGAAACTTGGAAATTGAAAACATTTGTATTCAGAAAAAGGGCTTTACTCATAGATCATGTTATATGAGGTGTGGAACAACAGGGCTCACATTGTAACGGTGTAGTCTGAGGGTATAAACACAAAATAAATGCTTTCCTGTGTGTGAGCAAAAACAATGGGCTGCCTGCCCTCTGTGTCTTGCAGTAGTAGCTTGAGATCATTGGAAAGGCATGAAACTGTGTGTAGAACTGTGACATTCCTCCAGATGCTCTCGTTCTCTGTGGTTTGGCCGCTAAACTCCAGCCCTGATTACTGAGTAACCCCCGATTCTCCAAAAGAGACTGTGTTGTTGTACTGGTGTGCTAGTCTCTAGGACTTGAAGCTTGGAAGAACAACTTTCCTCTCCTTTCCCTGGACATCCTAAACTTCCCACTCATTCTTTCTTAGTGCTTCCTGTGTTTGTCCTCGTCTCGCAGGCAGTCACTAAGAAGAAGTTTGGGAGCAGTAATTTCCGGAGTTCTCTGGAAAATGGACTTCTGTTGTGTGAGTAAGTAAAGCTGTTTTTACTTGTACTTCTCTAATTTTTACTATGTTTTTCTTGCTTAATGCATGACACGTTTTCTGCTATAACTTTGTGGCTATACCTTTTATTATTGCTTTTAATAATTACTATTGCATAACTGTTTTGTGCATACTAACATAATATAATGTAATTCTTAAAGGGACAGTTAACCCAAAAATATAAAACATTTTCTCATCCTCATGTTGTTCCAAACCTGTATGATTTCTATCTTCCATTGAACAAAATATATGTGCATATATGTAAAAGTAATCTATACAACTCTAGTGGTTTAATTCAAGTGTCCTGGATCAAAAAGGTTCACTTTGTATGATGTAAAGAACAAAAATTATGTGGTCATTCAATCTCAAATCAAATCGAAACATTGATCAGCTCATGGTTATTCATGCCTAAATCTTATATAGCGACATATCAATAACACCTCATTGGTGCCTGTGTCATGATGTTAAGTACCATAATAATATTAACGTTTATGTTTCTTTTAAGTCTTATTTGTTGCTTGTAATTTTGGACCCCATTGACTTTCAGTCAAAAAAAAAAACAGTTAAAACATTCTTCAAAATATCTTGTGATTTATAGAAGAAAACATTCATATGGATTTGGGCTTCTGAACTATCCAACCCAGGCAGATGAAGGTGAAATCTGGCAACGTTTTATTTTTTTGGTGGTTGTACAGTTCGCCAGTTCAGAAATGAAATGTCCACTTAGTGGCACTAAAAGGTTAATGCTGTATCGCATTTGAAAGTAATATGCCATTTAGACTAAACCCAACCATAAAACAAATCGATAATGTTAATAAAAGCAAGTGTGATATAAAAACAAGCAACCATTTTACCATTTTAGCCCGCCTACAAGTCTTTGAGCTCTTTAGCGTTACGCGTGTTTCATGGAGCTCATACTCCACATCGCAAGTGCAATGCTGTACCAGGGGAGTTACCGAGCAAGTTTATGTCAGAAAAGCCAAACATATGGAGATGTAAATGTCAAAATTAATTAGTTTGCAAATCATGCACTGTTTGAGGTCATAACATAGTAATGTACAAGGAACTGAGTGAAAATAAATCTATATTATTGATTATATGATTGCGAATCTGCCCCTGTAATCATAATTTGTGTGAAAAGGAATAAAAGTTGTTGTATTTTTTTTTAGTACCACTAGTGTTCATTTCAGTTGAATGTATAGGTAAGGGGTTTGGGTTTTTTTTTTTGGACTTGCAAAAATGCAGGTTGAGGCACATTTTTCCATTGAGTTTACTGTATGTTGGACTTATCCCTTTAACTACTTTTCTATTATGCACTGTAACAATATTTTACCTGTTGGCTGAAATGTGATGCAAGCTAACCTGAACTTTTTCATTTGGAATTTGCATCTAAGCTGTGTGTCATTTAATATGCGTTATGTCATACAGCTATATTAAAATACATAATTTGTACCCGGCTGCCACAGTCAGACTCTGTTCCATCCCAGGATGCATTAGTAAGCCCAGCAGAGGAAAACAGCACGGATGGCAGAGCATTTAATAGGACAGCTGGGAAGAGGTGATCCATAGTGCCAGCTACTCTAGCTGGGTTCAGAAACCTGAGCAGGGCAGAGTGCAGGCACATAGGGAGTGGCGGCACTCGGGCCTCTTCTACAGCAGCTCTGTTGTGCTGTTTATGTAAAGAGAGCGTTGGGTCGGTGGACTGGGTGTGACATGCTCAGGCTTCCCACTCACTGGTTCTTAGTGCTTCCTGTGTTTGTCCTCGTCTCGCAGGCAGTCACTAAGAAGAAGTTTGGGAGCAGTAATTTCCGGAGTTCTCTGGAAAATGGACTTCTGTTGTGTGAGTAAGTAAAGCTGTTTTTACTTGTACTTCTCTAATTTTTACTATGTTTTTCTTGCTTAATGCATGACACGTTTTCTGCTATAACTTTGTGGCTATACCTTTTATTATTGCTTTTAATAATTACTATTGCATAACTGTTTTGTGCATACTAACATAATATAATGTAATTCTTAAAGGGACAGTTAACCCAAAAATATAAAACATTTTCTCATCCTCATGTTGTTCCAAACCTGTATGATTTCTATCTTCCATTGAACAAAATATATGTGCATATATGTAAAAGTAATCTATACAACTCTAGTGGTTTAATTCAAGTGTCCTGGATCAAAAAGGTTCACTTTGTATGATGTAAAGAACAAAAATTATGTGGTCATTCAATCTCAAATCAAATCGAAACATTGATCAGCTCATGGTTATTCATGCCTAAATCTTATATAGCGACATATCAATAACACCTCATTGGTGCCTGTGTCATGATGTTAAGTACCATAATAATATTAACGTTTATGTTTCTTTTAAGTCTTATTTGTTGCTTGTAATTTTGGACCCCATTGACTTTCAGTCAAAAAAAAAAACAGTTAAAACATTCTTCAAAATATCTTGTGATTTATAGAAGAAAACATTCATATGGATTTGGGCTTCTGAACTATCCAACCCAGGCAGATGAAGGTGAAATCTGGCAACGTTTTATTTTTTTGGTGGTTGTACAGTTCGCCAGTTCAGAAATGAAATGTCCACTTAGTGGCACTAAAAGGTTAATGCTGTATCGCATTTGAAAGTAATATGCCATTTAGACTAAACCCAACCATAAAACAAATCGATAATGTTAATAAAAGCAAGTGTGATATAAAAACAAGCAACCATTTTACCATTTTAGCCCGCCTACAAGTCTTTGAGCTCTTTAGCGTTACGCGTGTTTCATGGAGCTCATACTCCACATCGCAAGTGCAATGCTGTACCAGGGGAGTTACCGAGCAAGTTTATGTCAGAAAAGCCAAACATATGGAGATGTAAATGTCAAAATTAATTAGTTTGCAAATCATGCACTGTTTGAGGTCATAACATAGTAATGTACAAGGAACTGAGTGAAAATAAATCTATATTATTGATTATATGATTGCGAATCTGCCCCTGTAATCATAATTTGTGTGAAAAGGAATAAAAGTTGTTGTATTTTTTTTTAGTACCACTAGTGTTCATTTCAGTTGAATGTATAGGTAAGGGGTTTGGGTTTTTTTTTTTGGACTTGCAAAAATGCAGGTTGAGGCACATTTTTCCATTGAGTTTACTGTATGTTGGACTTATCCCTTTAACTACTTTTCTATTATGCACTGTAACAATATTTTACCTGTTGGCTGAAATGTGATGCAAGCTAACCTGAACTTTTTCATTTGGAATTTGCATCTAAGCTGTGTGTCATTTAATATGCGTTATGTCATACAGCTATATTAAAATACATAATTTGTACCCGGCTGCCACAGTCAGACTCTGTTCCATCCCAGGATGCATTAGTAAGCCCAGCAGAGGAAAACAGCACGGATGGCAGAGCATTTAATAGGACAGCTGGGAAGAGGTGATCCATAGTGCCAGCTACTCTAGCTGGGTTCAGAAACCTGAGCAGGGCAGAGTGCAGGCACATAGGGAGTGGCGGCACTCGGGCCTCTTCTACAGCAGCTCTGTTGTGCTGTTTATGTAAAGAGAGCGTTGGGTCGGTGGACTGGGTGTGACATGCTCAGGGATTTCAGCATATTTTTGAACCTGACTGGATGGTTCTGGGGCAGTGCGTGGGCCGGTCTGACATGTTTGTGTCAGTCTAGTGACTCAGCAGACTAATTACCACCGTCCAGTGCAGAATCTCACCGTCCTGCTCCTGCACTCTCATGCTGCTTTCTTACAGTCTGTACTAAGCTATCAGCTTTGCCATTTCCACATGAGCAGACAAAGGCACACATTACCTGAGGATACCGTCACTCTGGATCTCATGTCTAAACAAAGACTCCTGTGAAACTACCGCTGGGGTCGGCACAACAAAGTCTTGACTTGGAACTTAAAGAGTGTACAAATGCTCCATAGATGTGCGAACAGGTTTTTCAGTGTGGTTGTACAGGATACACATTTTTAGTGTTTTAAAGATCACAAACAGGGAAGATATTGCCAACATACATATTGTTTAGAAAAATGGCAGCTCTGTTATTTCCTTAAAGAGTTCACCTATAGATGTAAATTCCATCATTATTTACTCACCCTCATGTCGTTCCAAACCTGTATGACTTTCCTTTTTCTGTTGTTGAAGAAAGAAAGTCAATTAATCTTATGTCACTAAAAAAGAGAAGGTACACTATATGATTCAATTCATTAAAATGTTAATGGCTGCCTCTCCCTTTATTACACATAACCAAAACTGCCAGAAATCAAGTTTCTCACATATTATATTTCATGCTCTTCACTCCTTGTTAGATCAGCTGCACACCTTTGATTGTGCAATTCAATGTTTAATGTGTATTTCTCCAAACCAGTTTTTCACACACAACTAGACTTAGAGGCTATTGACTGATGTCTGTTTCCACAGAGAGTTGTTTGCAATTTCTCCAGGGCATTAGATGGCTTTGTAAACTGAAGCCAGACGGTCAGAATTAAAGGAAGCCATAAACTGGCAACCGACACACAATATAATTATTTGTGTTGACTTTTGTTCTGTTTTTCTCTTTCTAGTCTGATCAACAAGATCAGGCCTGGTGTCGTCAAGAAACTAAACAGATTATCCACACCTATTGCTGGCCTGGTACGTTTATTATTATTATTATTATTTGTACTTTGACATGCATATATTATTTGAACTGTAGTATTCCACCTTGGCTAAGAACCTTAACTCTTACAAAGAAGTTTGAATTATTTTCTAAACGGTTTACTTGTACAAGGGTGTTAAGTGTGAATTGCACAGGGTTGATCATTTACTTATACTTGGTATTTAATAGGAATCATTTGCCACCATTCAGTATATCCAAACAGTAAGCACTGTGATTTTCCATTATGAACAATCCATATGCATGTGGAGAAGAGTAGCTGGATCATCCAGTTGTCTCATGACAATTTGTAAAAAAAAAAATAATTAAAAAAAACTTTTTGAGGATTTTTTTTTCTTTCTTTTTTTTTTACTCGAGAGCATAGACAAGTGGTATATGGGTCTGATTAAGCTGTTTTTATTGAAGCTGTTTTGGTCTAATATATGCAAAACATGCTCATTTATTTCCCATTGCCCTTTAAACCCAGGTAAACTTGGACAAGCATCTGCATGTCCAACAGCATCACAGAGGTATTTCCATAAAACACTTCCAACCCCAAAACCTACCAAGCACAGCCTAAACTCACAATTGTGGCCTCACATGGCAAGGGCTAAGCAAAGGCATGCGAAGAAAAACACAGTTTGGAGTATATTTTAGTTTTGCTAAATACTGCTGAGCCTGTTCCTGAACTTCCAGCAAACTGTAAGATGCAAAAGAACACAATGCTCTCATCCAGCTATGCTTATGACCGATGAAAGATATTTTTCCACAGAATGAAAGGCTCATTCAAGGCTCTGAAATCTTACCAGCACCATTATTGTTCCTTCTGGCTGCTTTGCTTTTGTTCGACACAGTTTCATTCTAATACAGAGGTTTTATATTTTGTTAAATCAAGGCTCATTAGTGCAAGAGCGGAAATCTCTGGTTTTGTGGACTGTGTAGCGACTCTGGCTTTGGATCACTAAACTCTACTCAGGGTTTGGCTTCGGCTGATCTCTGGATCACTTTCCCATAGTTCCATCAAACCCTGAGCCGTGGTTTACCCTTGTGTTTCCCTGGATAGCTGATCCTCCTTTTAACAATTTGAAGAGAGGAAGCCTACACTTGTGTGGCACAATGGTCGGCCACATTAGAAAACACATTCTGGCAGAGCTTTGGCCTGATGTTTAGCAGAGAGATGACTCCTTAGAGCATAGCCCTTCATAAACCCCCCATAACTGAGCTGGATGGATATATTTGCAACGGGTGCCACCACTGTGAAAGGAGAATTGGCAGAACTGATTATTTGAATAGAATTTTCCACAGTCCACCAGGCTTGTTTGCTCTTAAAAGCGTGCATTTAAGCATTTATATTATATTATTTACTTTTATTAAACACATAATGTGTAAGTGTTAAATTTTTAATGAACTGGCACATTTTTCCATATTCTCCATAATAGTTTACTGAAAACCACATGTTACATATAAGAACTTGATCTCCGCTCTGCTGACATACTTTTATGCAAACGAATGAATGTTAAAACTTGCTTTAAGTGAATTAAAATAATTTTATTTTGCAGTTGGTTTGATCCAAAGCTATGCAATTTTAAGACTCTATGTCTTTGCTAATTAAATTATCCCATCGATTTTTTATTTTTACTTGTTTACATGCAGTACTTAGTATTCTGTTTTTGCCAAATTCCTTTTCACTAAAACATTCACATAAATGCATGAATTCTGTTTATTTATAATTAGTAATACTCTATATGTTATTAAGCATAGACTTTTAAATCAATGTAAAGTATGCTGATTGTAGTTATCAGGCCGATACCGATAACAGAAAAAATGAGCATTTATCGGCCGATACCGATATGGTGGCCGATATATCGTGCATCCCTAGTCTGAATACTTTCCGTACCCACTGTAAATGCATGAATTCTGTTTATTTATAATTAGTAATACTCTATATGTTATTAAGCATAGACTTTTAAATCAATGTAAAGTATGCTGATTTTAGCAACCTTAGTTTGGGGTCGCCGTGATTTTGCCAAGTAAGACGTGTTCCTGGATCAACATCTTTTGATGATTCTGGATCAACATTATTGTCCAAAAATATAGACTTAACTCAATCCCTACCCATAATTTATTCTTAAAATCAGTGGGAAATGATAGCTGATTAATCATGTTGTACTTGGTGAAATCACACTCACCTTGATTTGGCACCTTGTTCAAGGACACAAAAGTTATAGAACCAGCGTCACATATAGTTGGGACTGAACCTGTAACTGTTGTGTTGTGTGAAATCTAATAACTAAACTTAAATTTAATACATTTGAAGTATTCTGCTGTGGCAAGGTGATATTGTTATAGGTAGAGGTATCTGACACACTCTAGCCAGAGATTATGTCACTGTCCTGAAGATTTACACATTAATTTACATTGTAAAGTGACGTGGCCAAGTATGGTGACCCACACTCGGAATTAGTGCTCTGCATTTAACCCATCCAAAGTGCACACACACACACTGTGAACACACACCTGGAGCAGTGGGCAGCCATTTATGCTGCGGCGCCCGGGGAGCAGTTGGGGGTTCGGTGCCTTGCTCAAGTGCACCTCAGTCATGGTATTGAAGGTGGGAGAGAGCACTGTACATTCACTTCCCCCACCTACAATCCCTGCCAGTGCGAGACTCGAACCCACAACCTTTGGGTTATGAGTCCGACTCTCTAACCATTAGGCCACGACTTCCCCCACATTTACATATTAATGTGTCCTGTTTACAAATTGTTTAACCTTTACTGGGAATTTAAAATTACCTACATGTAAGAGTCTGTTTGTTCCTAGCCACCTGCTCCAAGACATTTAGCATTCAGGTATTCAGGTAAACAGGTGACTAGCGGAACTTTTTCATATCTTACCTAATTTACATAAGTTTAGGTTAAAGGTTATAGGGATAGTTCGCCTTCAGTTGCTGGTCCCCATTGATTTGCGTAGTGTTTTTTTTTCTATACTATGGAAGTCAATGGGGACCAGCAACTGAAGGTGAACTATCCCTTTAAGGACACTGGACAAGCTGTTGGAGTGTGAGAATTTGTTTGAGGGACAGAACGCTAAGAGACATCTTGTTGACATCCATTTTCTGTGCACTGCATTTCAGAAGAACGCATTTGTCACCTTTAAATACAGATGAAACGTACAATGAGACCTTTGACCCTATGCCTCAGGATTTAACAGTTTAAGCAAGGAGGTAATTCAGAAGTGGAGCTCCTCATTGCCATCTGCTAATAAGCATGTTTGCTGTTTAAATATAGACCAGAACACCCTGTGATTATTTTAGAGCAAGCGGGAAAGCAGGAAAGGGTGGGCTGCACGCTCTGAACCTGTCTTCCAGATGGTTGATCAAATCTAACTGAAATGATGTCATCATAACACAACACCAGTGCCATGATAGTCTGCATTCATCAAAATACTGGATGTGTATGTGAATGCACACACACACGATCTTAAGTTTCCTTTGTTCAAGCATTTCCCTACCCACCCACCAAGCGATTTTAACACTTGCTTGGGGGAAATAGTTTGTCGTTTCAGTCACCTGTGTTTCATGGCAACCCCGTCTCCAAAATAATCCACCGCCCTGAAGATTCCTCAAATATTCTGCTGAGAGATTTGAGTGGCGGTTTCTGGGTGTGAAAAGGGAGAGTATGCTTGAGTTTATATGTTTGTGCACTTGTAGGTATGTGTCTATTTCACGGCATGTTTCCGGCACTCGATATTCGCAAAAAAAACATCTCTAAAGTTACATACGACATTGGTATACACTTTTCTAACTTCAATAGCATTTGAGGAGAATGACTTACAGTAACACAACCAACTGTAACATGTTCATGTAGGTCTCAGTTATAATGCACACCTTTTAGATTTTTGATATTAAAATAAACTGTCAAATCATATGTAAATATTGCTGTTTTTTTCTTTCGTTACAGTTGG